AATATTCTGTGTGTATGTCTGCAGGCCAGAAGAGGGCACCAGACCTCATTCCAGATGGTTGTGAGCCACCATGTGGTTGCTGGGAATTGAACTCAGGACCTTTGGAAGAGCAGGCAATGCTCTTAACCACTGAGCCATTTCTCCAGCCCCTCCTTTTGGTATTTTGAGACAGGGTTTCACTATAGTATTAGAGTCTGTCTTGGTAGAGCAGGCTAGCCTCGAACTCACAGAGATCCCCCTGCCTCTGTCTCCTGAGTGCTGGGATTAAAGACTGCTTCACCACCACCTTGCGAGACAGGGTTTCTTTGTGTAGCTTTGGAGCCTGTCCTGTAACTCGCTCTGTAGACCAGGCTGGCCTGGAACTCATACAGATCTGCCTGCCTCTGCTTCTGGGATTAAAGGCGTGTGCTACCACCGACCCCGGGTCACGACTCTCTTTTTTAAAAAGTTTAAGTTCAGCACACTTAGCACAGCAGACACGCCAGTAACAGAGCGACTACCTGCCTAAGATTCATTCTTCCGTAAGAGGCCTATACCTGTTACACGGACTTGCTCTAGAACACCAAATGAGCTAAACTGGATCCGTCACCTTGTCACCCAGATGCAGCATTTTGTAGTCACTAAGCCACTGGGCGTGCGTCCCCACAGCTCCCACCTAAATGGGCTGGAAGCAGATCTGCTGGATCTACTGCCCCTATTTTGAAGAACAAATTGGAAACTAGGCAGGCAGGAGTTGTCTGAAGTTGCAGAGCGAAGTGACAGGTGTCAGTGGCCGCTCAGAACTACCAGCACCCAAGCTTCACCAGGACACCTAGCCTTTGGGGTGAGCTACAGCCTATGACTCACAGTCCCCACCCGGTTTTCGGTCCCGCCTGGGACAAGGCGTGAAGGGACGTAACTATTTGCGACTCGAGGGGTGTTCATAGAAAGTTCATAGGCTCGGCCTGTTCCAGCCACCAAAAATCCTGGGTTTCTGGACTCTAATAAAAAGAATTCCTCTCTCAGACATGTTTGACGAGGTCTTGCACTTTCTCGGCTTATGTTTTCATCTTCGAACATGGTCGTCAATTTCCCTTTATTTCCACCTTCACTTCACTTGGTTTGCCCTAGCCTCTGTTTACTCCGATTGCGGAAGTCGCTCGGGTGGAGTTCCCGGGACACTACCTTTGAATACGTCTTTTGCGTACTTATTTAATTGGCATTGGATTCTAACCAATGGCATAGCTGGGAGCCCAGAGCGGGTGGGACAGGGAGCCAATCAGAACGGTTGGCGGGGTGTGGCTGCGTCCTGGGGCGGGGAATCACGTAATGGCGGACTCGGGCCGGTGGAGTGCGGTTTAGGGGCGTAGCGCGCTGAAGTGGGGTTCCGACTGTGTGGCAGCCCGTGAAGCTGTGGGCTGGAGCACACTCCGTGGGGACACGGACCGGCCGGCCAGCCCTTGTTTCTGAGGGCGACTGCGCGAGGTCAGGTGAGCAACAGGTCCCCCCTGGGCGCGCCCGGCTGTGAGGCGCCAGCGCCGGCCCGGCGGCCCCTGCTGGGTCCCGGGGGGCAGCCGGTGCCCGCTCTGGCTGCCGCTGCCACGGTTCGCGTGCTGTCAGCGCTGTGGCGACACTTGGGGGGTGGTGGTGACCCAGAGTGCCCTTCGGACACTTGGGAGGGCCCGGCGAAAGTGTTACGACCTGTGGCCCGGCCACCGGCACCCCGTGTGCTCTTGGGCAAGTCACGTCCATCTTTGGGCCTCAGTTTACCATTTGTCAGTAGACTTGGCAGAAGTGTGCGGATTGGGTCTCAGCAGTTTCCCGAGCTCTCGGATAAGTTCTTCAGCCTGAGCCTCAGTTTCCATATTTGGGCCATGAAGTGATGGAGCTAACTCTTGGAGGCCCCTGGCCTGTGAAGCTGGGGAGTGGGTTGGGCACTGTGTGTGTAAGTGTGTGCGCGCACGTGTGCACAGAATGAGCTGTAGAGAGAGGAGGCTTGGCTTACGGGGACCACTTGTCCCAGAGCGTGGGAGCCACCAGATCGTGACGGGGTAGGGCCAGGTCCCTTTGATCCATGGAGATGAGGAAGTTTTATCCCGTAGTTCAGAGATTGAGAGTTGACGAGGAAATAAATCCTTGGAGCCTTCGGGGCTACTGTTGGCATTTAAGCCCAGGATTGAAGAGGAGGAGGAAAGCCAAGAGAAACGTTGATGGTTGTCCTACTGTGTGCCAGACTTTAGGAATACATTCTTGTTTAGTTTTTCCAGCAGTCCTTGCCAGTTTACGGGTGAGGAAGGCAAGTCCCAGAAGTTGAGTAACTTGCTCGGGTCGACACAGTAATATGTGGCGCTTACCAGCGTGAGGGTGTTTCCTCTGGGAAGCACCGGGGCAGAGGGGGCAGGGGTAAGTCACTGCTCTCTTCGAAGGGAACTTTGCTCTGTCGGAAATGGAGGGAGGGGTGTAACCCGGAGATTTGATTTCACTTCTGGTGTGGGGACAGGCTAGGTTTTGAGCTTAGGGTTGTTCATTTTAAGCTCCCCCCCCCCTTTTCACTCTGGGACTTAGAAAGGGCCATTCCCGAGTGTCACTTCATGTCAGAACAGCAGAGAATTCAGGTCGAGTCCATGAAGACGAAAGTTCACCAGCTTTGGGTGTGTAGACTCGACTTCTGGTTCAGGGTGGTACCATCCCAGTCCCGTCTCTCTGGAAGAAGGCTGCCTTTTATTGGGAGGGGGAGGTCACCCATCTGTTCCTCTGAATTTCTTTGGGTTCTTGAGAGTGAGGTTCCAACAACATGTCTCTCTTTGTAGTTCCTTATCTATCAGGTGAGTGAAGTCAGTGGACTTTGGAGGGAGTTGGGTACCATAGCCCTTGAGCTTTACAAACATCGAGAGCCTTGGGTTAATCAAAATAGTCGTCCAGCTGTGGGTATTGTCCTCATCTGTCAGTGGTAGGGAGGAAAATCACAAGAGGAAGTCGCTGAGAAAGAGGGCGTTTCTTCGCTGTGGAGCCAATATCTATTTTCTTTGTTTGAAATTCTAAAACCAGAAAAGCAGCAGCTAAAGGAGGAAGGAAGGAAAGAACTTCTAAATGCTGCTTCCTGTCAGGGAGCTTTGAGGGCTGTCCCAGTGGTGTGGGAGGCACTGCTTGCCCAGGAAAAGGCAATTGAATTGCCTGTACTTTGAGAATGATCTTGTAGTTTCTAGAATGGAGAATGAAATAACTTTAAGTCTTAAGTCCTCTCAGAAGACTGTTTAAAGAACATTTTAGTGAGTTATCACTGTTGATTCATTGTTCCCACAGTACTTTCCAGTCTTTGGCCAAGTTTTAACTATGATTTAACTTTGCGTTTTAACATAATCTGTCTTTGCTATTAGAGGATGCAGAGCCATCATCACATGAAAAAATATGATATGTTTGGACATTTATTTATATCTGTTATTATTGTCTCTTTAATGTTGTTACTTATTTTCTGTCAGACGAGTCTGAGTCTTCTTTTTTTTTTGTTATTAAAAATTTCTGCCTCCTCCCCACCTCCCATTTCCCTCCCCCTCTCCCCTCCCCCTCCTTCGAGTCTGAGTCTTCTTATGTAACTCAGACTTACTTGAACTCAGTATCTTCCTGCATCTGATTCTCCAATGTTAGGATTACAGACATTGGGCACTACCATGTCCCGCTTGTTTTTTGACATTTAAGGGTTTTTTTTTTTTAATTTTTTTTTTAATGGCTATGAATCACCATGTGGGTGTTAGTAACTTGGGTCCTCTGTATGAGCAACAAGTGCCTTTAACTGCTGAGTAATCTCATCGGCCCCTTAGCCTTTTTTTTTTTTTTAAGTTACCAGTGTGTGTGTAAGTCTGTGTGTGAGTGTGTATAACTCCAGTTCCAAGGAATCTGATTCCCTCTTCTGACCTCAGGCAGCAGGCATGCACACGGTGCATATGCATACATGTAAGCAAAACACTCATACGGTCAACATTGTTTAGCAGAGTGGATTTCAGAGTCCGGAAATTGTGCTCTATGGGAAACTTTGCTGTTTTATAAAACTTTTACGTCAGTTAAAATATAGCTGATATGCGTTTTCTCCTGGGTACCAGAATATATCTCTTAATACTCTCTCTGTACTTGTTTTTAGATGCTAAAATGACCCCTCCACCTCTTCTTTATTTATGGTGCTGATAATGGAACTCCTTTGTGTCTGCTAAGCAGGTGCACTTTACTGCTGAGTTACACCACCAGCCCTTTTTGCCCTCCTTTTATAAATAATAGTTTATAGGTTCTCTGCTCTCTTTGTTTTCTATAGCTATTGAGAGAAACACTATCTTTTTCTGTACACAGGAGAGAAAGATTTGCTTGCAGGATTTTAGAACTGATTTTTTTCCTCAGGGTAGTGCTCAGTGTAATATGGGATAATCACTAGTAGGAGGAATTTGGGTCAAACTTTCCTTTTTTCTTTTCTTTTTTCCAGTTCTTTGAGACAAGGTCTCTTTTTCATAGGTTTGCCTGAAACTAGCTGAGGATGACCTTGAACTCTTGATCTCTGTATCTCCCAAGTGCTGGGTCTAGAGGCTTGTGCACTATACCCAGGTTTTGTGGTGCCAAGGATTGAACCGAGGACTTCAGTGCATGCTAGGCAAGCCCTCTTCCAATTAAACTACACTTTCAGGCAGGCTATAGCTTTTCTGAGCTACCTCTACTATAGAATGAAGTTCATTGTTTGACAGTGAAGAATTTCTTCTCTTTCTAAGGACACCCATGGCAACATAGATTTTAAGAATTTTGTCCTTCAGAAGACTATGGGACCACTGTGTTTAAAGACTTCAGGTCATTCTATTTGAATGGCTCCACAGTGTTTGATAATGCTCTTTCTCTGGGAGGGTGTGGAATGATGAGCTGGAAGTTGCAAGTGGAGTAGTGGGATTGGACCAGGAAATAGAAGTGATTCCTGCCTAGACCACTATTGAAAATAACTGCAAAGTAGCAACCTAGCGTGCTACAGTCTAATATATGCTTGGGATTCTGAGTCAGGAGTAGTGGCAAACACTGCTAATCCCAGCACTCAGGAGGCAGAGGCAGGTGGATCTCTGTGAATTCGAGGCCAGCCTGGTCTACAGAGAAGTTCCAGGACATCCAGAGTGACATAATGAGACCCTGGTTTGAAAAAAACAAACAACAAAAAAATTCAAGTTGGGTAACTGTGTCTTATATTTCTTTGGCGTTTGTAATTCCTAAAGACCAGAGCTTCAAATTGATCGTATCAGGATTCTTCATGAAAACTGTGCTTATTAAGTGGCACAGGGACTCGGATGTCAGTACACAGATTTGTTTATATATCTCGCGCGCGCGCACGCGCGCGAGTGTGTGTGTGTGTGTGTGTGCCGTGCACCACAGAAGGTGTGGAGAGTAGAGGAACAGGGCTTCACTGTGAGCTTTAGAGCCTGTCCTGGAACTCACTCTGTAGACCAGACTGGCCTTGAACTCACAGAGATCCTCCTGCCTTTACCTCCCCAGTGCTGGGATTAAAGGTGTACGCCACCTTGCTTTGGCCAACTGAAAGTTATGTTTATTCCTTGAGTACTAGTCTTACTAAAATTGAGTGGGCTGACAATTGATAATTTGGGAGTAGGTAGAAATGCATAATTTTTGGGGATTTGGGTAAAGGAGGCAGACTTCTGGGCACTAGTGATGGCAGAAGAAGCCACGGAAAGTTGTAGTTTGAGGGGCTGCAGAGATGACTCAGAGGTTAAGAACATGTACTTTTCTTCCAGAGGACCCAAGTTCAATTCCTAATACCCGTGTGAGGTGGCTCATTCAGCTCTAGGGGAATCTGACACCTCTGGTCTCTGTGGGCACCTGTTCTCATGTGCAGATAGACACACATACACATAGTTAAATAATAAAAATAAAATTTAAAAAAATGAAAGGAGGTTATAGTTCGAATGGGTCTCCAGCATGACATGAGAAACAACTGCTGTCCTGGAACTAGCTCTTGTAGACCAGGCTGGCCTCGAACTAACAGAGATCCACCTGCCTCTGCCTCCGGAGTGCTGGGCTTAAGCCCTACTTGCTTTTTGCTTATCCTGTGGAGCAGATCTAAGATGTCATTTTTGCTTTGGGAAAGGCTCATTGACTACTCTCGTTTGTTTTTGTTTTTGTTTTTCAAGACAGGGTTTCTCTTTATAATAGTCCTGGTTGTCCTGGAACTCGCTCTATAGACCAGGCTGGCCTCAAACTCAGAGATTTCCCCTGCCTCTGCCTCCCAAGTGCTGAGGTAAAAGGTGGAACACACCTGTCCCTCCCTCCCTTTTTGTTAAAGCACTAGTCAGAGAGTCAAAACTACGTCAGGTAACAGAAACTAAGGAACTCTGAGAGCAGGGGAAATGTCTTCCCCAGGGAGGAGCACACCAGCACACCAGTTGGTTATCCAGTGCCAAGTGGTCAGCTCTGAAAACACGCAGACAAGTAACATGCAGACTGAGCCGCTTGTATT